ATCTTGAGGTGCGGAAGTGTTGTTCTTATTGGGTCCCCCATTCCCTATCTGAGGATAAAAAAATGGCTCGAGTCGATTTCTGCCAAGAAATGCAGAAGAAATTCAACAAAGGATCTTAAAATTTCGTGTTGTGGTGGCAAGATCACCAGAGACGATTTCTTATCTTCATAACACTGTTTAACAGGTTTTTCACCTTTGGAAACTTTAATGACTTGTAGCAATCGAATTTTAGTCATAATTTTTAAAGGAATACTCGAATGCAGCTGATGCTTGGTATAGATGTTCATTGGTCTATGACTTATTCGTTCTCGTCAGCCATGTGGTTCTATTAATACATGTTGACAGGGGTGCTATATTGCGTGCGTAGGTGATATGTGAAGGTGCACGAGGGCTCTGCTTACTTTCCATTTTGATAATAACAGCAAATCAATGTGAGACATTGCTGCAATGATAGGTTCACCATCTTTTGCTTGTAGTAGTGCGAATACTGGACATATTCCATTATTTTTAGTCCATTTATATTTTCCATCTCTTACCTTTGCTGATGCGACCGCAGGGTCACCTGCCGACATGTTAACCATATACTGGGCAAGGAAAAGAATAAGCCATAAGCCTATGAGCATCTGTCAAACATAAGCTTCATCTTACTATTCCATGAAACGTTATAACCAAAGTTCTAGTGTTACAAGTCACCGTTGAACTTAGTTTGCCGAAATCTTTTGAAAGAACTCCATGATGCAGCCGATATTTAGCAGATAGATTGATGAGTCTAAAGATTATTTTCCCAATGTCGGAAAATGGCATAGCACCTAGACAGGTGGCGCTGCGGCTGACATAAGCGCCATCTATCCGCATGCAGCCCTATCTAGCAGTATGGGAAAAAAACCTCCTAAACTCATGAACCTTTCTCTCAAATGTCAACGGCATCTGACTGCCCCTTGAAAAATTATATCCAATCATGGTGATGACATTATGATGGCCACTATATAATAGCTGTGCTTCGTAAGGCGTAGGCCTATATAAAAAGTCCTGGACAAAAAGACAATGTTCTCGATAGTTCGCACGTTTGGGCTAGGTAGAAACTGGTAGAGGGAATGAAGTGCAAGATGCCAGATGCGACATTTCACTCGTGGGCCCAACAACCCTGTCTATGCTGCTGCGAGCAGCCACTCCCTCCTGTCCACCATGAATGCTTCATCCATGAGGGCTGGGAAGTGGATGTTTTCGTGACAGACTGGCACCTCGACACAGGGCTTTGAAATTGCTCATTGACTTGAAAATAAGGTCCACACAAGCTTCATGTGAAGATGATTTTTTATCCTTCAGGTAGCTTCCAGATCCTGAAATGATTTACATGAAATTCTTGGATTAGACCATTTCTTTCTTTGACCTAGTTTCCCGATGAGGGTAAGCATGTAAAAACACTTGAGTCTCAATAAGACACTGGTGCGCCTCTGCCTCTTGTTTTTGAAGCGCAAAAAGTAGCAGTTCCACTTATTCCAATCATTGGGAAGGGCCAGCTATTAAGTTCGAGGTAATATAAAGGTGCAAGTAGTCAGAGACCCATGATTATTCAGTGTCTCCCAAAGGATGTCCCAATTTTTAAAGCCTGTTTAATGATATCTTTAACGCACAAAGGTATAAGTAACACATCAGTTGGAAGGTTAAACTTCAAGGTAGCAGGTGGTTATAAAAACGTAATATGCAGTATGTCCTCGATGCCCATCATGCAGCATACAGACAGGCGGTGACAGACAGTGACAGACGGTGTACCGCATAGAAAAATCTTCAATTACATGCTGCACGTTGAATCGCATTAAGATTATCTTCGATCATTTGTCAGAGGAACTAAATGTCTCTTGGATTGGAGGCGTACGCTTTATCGCCTGCTGGAAAGAATGTTGATGTTAATGTGCAGTTCATTGCTTCAGATTGGTTAAGGCCTCGCCTCATTATGTCCTGGCCACCCCTGACATAGAACTGACAGAAGCCCAGGTACAGATCTGCCATTCCACAACTCACTATGCCTCAGGAATATCATATTACAAATTATTCTAACCGCAAACTTAGAAGATTTAAAAATGTGTAAATACTCAAAGTAGGCTTAAGTGAATAGTCCTAGAGAACTCGACTATGTTCGCCCATGATTCGCTCGTCCACGCCCTATAGAGACTTGAGGAGAGCACAATCCAGAGGATGCCAGATGAGACATTTTGAGGAAAGCCCAGCAACTCTGTCTACGCTGCCGCCCACTGCTCTCCCAAATGTCTACTGTGGATCCGTCATACGTGAGGGTAAGAAGAGAAATGAAAGTTTTAGTAGCTGATTGGCACGCCAACTTATGCTGGATATTGCACGTGTGCACAGAATGAAGTTGTCCGGTAGCTTAAGAAACTGCCGCCACTGGGAATGAAAAAAGGAAGAAAAAAAAACTGAGTACGAGCCCAGGTACAGATCTGCCATATCACTGACCCTGATACGAGGGGCACTCCCAAAAGTTCTTGCAAATGGCATTAAATATTGCCTGACCCTCATGATATTTTCTGGTATTGTTCTTCTGGGATTAAATACGATTTAATGTGTTAAAAAATTTTTTCCTCCCAAATTGGTGAAACGTGACATGAAGTCAAAATCGGTCACCTCCATAGCAGATGACCTTGACACGTAGAGAACTGCGAATGCTGATTTGGTATGGTTTCCAAAGGCCCCTAACTGCGAAACAGTGTTTTGCAGAAATTAAATCATAACTGGTCTATCTTGCCCCATTCATGTGCTTTGTGGATGACTAATTTCTAAGGTATGGACTTTGAGGACGAGCCCCGTGAAGGTTGGCAAATTCCAGAAGTGACTAAACAAATGAGGCTGAAGTGAAAGCCATGATTAAGGAAGACCGAATTGCGACATATGCTGTCATAGAAGAGACCCATAGGATTGAAGAGTCTGCCATTTGAAAAATTGTCCATGAAAATCTTGAGGTGCGGAAGTGTTGTTCTTATTGGGTCCCCCATTCCCTATCTGAGGATAAAAAAATGGCTCGAGTCGATTTCTGCCAAGAAATGCAGAAGAAATTCAACAAAGGATCTTAAAATTTCGTGTTGTGGTGGCAAGATCACCAGAGACGATTTCTTATCTTCATAACACTGTTTAACAGGTTTTTCACCTTTGGAAACTTTAATGACTTGTAGCAATCGAATTTTAGTCATAATTTTTAAAGGAATACTCGAATGCAGCTGATGCTTGGTATAGATGTTCATTGGTCTATGACTTATTCGTTCTCGTCAGCCATGTGGTTCTATTAAATGTACAACTGTCCCCACGATATAACGCACGCATCCACTATACACTTCCACGTGCTCCCGAGACGAATGAAAGGTAAAACTATTATTGTCGTTTAGTTACACTCTGTAACGACGTTACTATCCAAGTCCATCTTTTGCTTGTAGTAGTGCGAATACTGGACATATTCCATTATTTTTAGTCCATTTATATTTTCCATCTCTTACCTTTGCTGATGCGACCGCAGGGTCACCTGCCGACATGTTAACCATATACTGGGCAAGGAAAAGAATAAGCCATAAGCCTATGAGCATCTGTCAAACATAAGCTTCATCTTACTATTCCATGAAACGTTATAACCAAAGTTCTAGTGAATGTTCAGTGGCAACTTGAATCAAACGGCTTTAGAAAACTTTCTTGAGGTACTACGTCGGCTATAAATCGTCTATCTAACTACTCAGATTTCTAATAAAAGGGTTACAGCCTTTTACCGTATCGTGGTTGACAGGTGGCGCTGCGGCTGACATAAGCGCCATCTATCCGCATGCAGCCCCATCTAGCAGTATGGGAAAAAAACCTCCTAAACTCATGAACCTTTCTCTCAAATGTCAACGGCATCTGACTGCCCCGTGAAAAATTATATCCAATCATGGTGATGACATTATGATGGCCACTATATAATAGCTGTGCTTTGTACGGCGTAGGCCTATATAAAAAGTCCTGGACAAAAAGACAATATTCTCGATAGTTCGCACGTTTGGACTAGGTAGAAACGGGTAGAGAGAATAAAGTGCAATATGCCAGATGCGAATAAAGTGAGCACCCGGGTTGTTGGGACAGATACGACGACGCTCGTCGGTGAGGGAGGACAGGTGGTACTTACGAAGTAGGTACTCCCGACCCTTCACCTACAAAAGCACTGTCTGACCGTGGAGCTGCAAGGCGGAAAGCTCCACAATCTTGACGGAATGAAAAAAGTGAATGACCGATCGCAATCTCAGCCATTTTTTTCAGTTTCTTTGGGAATGGAAGATAATGGCTCTATGACTGGACAAACTAAACCAACTGCGCTAGGTCAACTTACCGGAAGTGCGAGCAGACTGGAGCATCGGTAATGACAGACACCCCAATGCAGTCTCCATTCCACATACGGTTTTCTATAGGTCCTAGGCTTCCATGATGTATTCCACTTCCAGTCGTAGATTTCCTTCCACTGTTCCCATTTAATAAAGTGAGATATAAAATTGGAAACTTTTTTAAATGGTGCCCCGTCTGTCTTCAACATGGTTGGCAATAATTTGAGGGGGTACGGAAAATACTCTGTAGTCCCCTACTACCTTGAGGAATAATATTTCCAATGACTCATTACCTTACTTTCGTAAATTAACACGTTCACTGCAGGACCAAAAAATACCCATAGGTATACATCATGCTGTGCGAGTCACCAGTGACTCGTGCCACAGTGCACGTTTTACAGGTATCACTGTACACGATTTATAAGTTGGAGTAACCTTCGTTGAGGCACCTTGTGCCTGTTGACATCGAAGAGAAATCAAGTCCAGGTTCAAGTACTGGCCGTCCTGAGATCTCATGACTATAAATCTGTTCACTTTCCAACTATTGGACATGTAAAGATCATTATGCTTACCCTGAGACTTTCACTATCCTACTTTGAAGCTACTCTAAAGAAGGAAATTCTAGAGAGAATTAAAGATGTATCAACTGCAAGGATGGACTGTCGAGCTGGTTTAGGTACTCCTTTGACTCGAACTCCAACGGTAGTTACAAATCTTGTCTTGAGAAAAAAAATAAGCTGTCAGCTATGATGATCTCAGTAGATAAGGACTCTGCTGGTGTTTCTGTGCAGTCTACAGCCAGAGTCTTTGGGTTCCACAAAGTCACCCCAGACACGAGCTTGTCAGTTCTCCTGTCGTATAGGGATCCCAGTTGGAAGGGTCTTCCTAAACCTGCGATCTCCAGTTGGTCTGACATTCATGTAACACGGTTTGAACACCTGTAAAATAATAATAAAAAGTTGTAATAAGCAATTTTAATCTGCAGCTAACACCCACGTCAATATACAATGACAGGCTATGTCGCTTTCGTGCCTGGATGAATTAGATGTATTAAAT